CTTATATATCTGATTCTTTTTTCAAACGCGTAAAATTGAAGCCATTTCGTATTGTGATTGTTATCGTTATCTACACTATTTATCCTTAATTGGAAATAAAGCATTTGAAAGATATCATAAGATATCATATAAATATTTGTATGGAGTGATGTTTTAAAAAACCGGTTTGGGGTCTAGATTTGGTTTCTGAACTGCGTGCTTTCGATCCAGGTACGTACGTACGTAGGTACTGTATGTGTATCATCTGTTAAATGACTTTTTTGCATCCACGCGATTTACTCATTAAAATCTTTGTGAAAAAGTTAAGGTAACAAATAGCTATATATTTACTCCAGAAATGTGGTAAACGAATATAACGTAGTTTACAGTCTCCTAAACTGATATACGTACACATGAAAACCCAAGTAACCGTGAAGCTTCACATGATTCTAAATTTATCACAAAGACACTGACTTTTGATGATCTGCACTGCAGTATCTTGATATCTTGATACGCCCGCCCTTCATGAATACTTTCTATTTACGGAAATTGATTTTTTTTTTTTTTTTCGAAATATCAGATATAGTATTATAATGTTATTAATAATATAATATATTATAGTTATTGCGAAATATGAAATAACGATTTTATTCAATGAGTTTACTATCTGCTATTTCAATTTAATAATTTTTATCACCATAATTATACTAGCATCAGAAATGTGATGAGCCCCGTAATCAGTTCATTTGTGCTAGGTTGGATGCAAATGAAATCTGAATGGGATCAATGAACTCGGAATAGGCTCATTTGAACCTGAATTGGGTCCAAATGAACCTGAAATTATCAGATCTATTTAGAAATTCGGATCTGGAATATTATCAGATATGTTTTGTTATCAATAAGGTAACATAGTGGTGGCAGAAAAAATTCGCGATCAGATGACTGTGACTCAATCAATGATCAACAAACTTACAGTACCATGTATATTGATGGTTGCATTGTGAGGTTCAGAACGATCAAAAATCACCTGATCGCGAATTTTTTCTGCTATCACTATGTTACCTTTAACAATACCAGGGCCAGGGCCATTTCATGGAATGCCGCAGAAATAGGTCCTAAACACGGAATGCATCAAGGATAGCACGGAATTGTCGCAGAAAGTAAGATTTATAATTTTTTTATAAGTACATGATGCTAAAAATATAGCTTCCAAAAATTTCCGATGTAGAAAATAAATGAAATTTTGCAATTAACTTATTGCAGAACATTCGAAGTTTCTAATATAACCAACGCAGAATTTACACAAAGTTCTTTATAATCATCGCACTATGATAGTAAATCATTTGATATCTAACACGTACTAAAATTTTTGGCACATACCAAACATCTTTACTTCTTAAACTTTCTTCAAATTTTATTTCAAATTTTATTTTAAACTTCTTTTCAAAGGGTTACTTCAAAAATTTTTTTACTCGGAGATTTTCACCATGCTATAAAATTAAAAAAATTTCGGATTTTCGTGTTTGTTAATTCCGTAATTCACATAAAATGAAAAAAAAAAAACAATATTTTAAATCTCTAAACTATACTCTTTTCAATGTAAAGTTTAAAAAAAAAAAGTTCTGATTACTTCTGTACTTGTATATTAAATTTTATTTACCTTAAAAGTACTTCAGAATCAGAAGACTATTAAATATATTTTGCAGGTGATTTAAACATATAGCTGCATTTATAAGAGATGCGTATTTATATATGTTGATATTCCTCTTGTCAGTTATCCGAGGTGGTTTCAATATCGGTGTTTGTTGAAGAATCTCGATGGAGACATATATGTCGGCTACGAGATTAGGGCTGTCTTAAGCACCTTAATCTTTATTAGTAAAAAAATAGTTTAACGATCAATTGTATTGATTATTCCAATGAATAAAACGTGTAACGAAAGTTTAATACGTCAGAAAGAAAAATTTTATTAGCGGAAGTTCGTTTAACCGACCAAGGGTATTCATCATTCCAATCAACAAGAGATAGGTCCTTTTTTTATCATGGAGTTGCGTTTATTGGTCGATTGATTAATTAGAAAAAATAATTGTTCAAGTACTTCACTCTTTTTACATTATTATCGTTATCGTTATCGTTATGGTCATTATCAACGCCGACAAATTATTATTACCTCATTACAGTATTATGCTAAAAATATTCGCCGCAAATAAAAATTCGTAGTAGAGATGCATGCCGAGAAAACCATGTGATGCTAAATAATCACAAAGTAATTTTTTAAGTCACATGCAATAAGTATAAGCTATAGTGTGCGATGATTTAGCATCACATGGCATCTCTAGAACAACTGTAAGTTATAATTTAACTTATTTCTTTTTTTTGTAACTGTTATATCTATTTCATATACAGTATATATTTTCACTTTATAGATATTTTTACTTAATTGCGAACCACATTATCTATACTTAATAATTCTGATAACCTTAATACCGAAAGCTTGAAAATGACAAAGTTATTACAAAGTTGGATAAAAATCTAATTACGAAAGAGTAATGAAACAACAATTATCATCATTTGTATCATTCAAAGTAACGAATATAATAATTCTAAAAAATCAATCGCTTACTTCACTTACTTTGGAGGGCAAAAAAGAATTCGAAGTCATGTGATATACTTATGCAAATAATTCTGTAATTGTACCACAACAAATTGATATGTACGCGTCGTTATAATTAATCTCTATCGCTATTTTAATTCTGTAATTTGTATTACAGATGAACATGGTCAAATGTTTGGCGTAGTAATCTTTTTACGAAATTTTCCTGTACTTTGTGTAATTTAAACTGTAGATACTAACTAGCCTGAGGGCTAGTGATGCAGAATAATCGTCCCAATGATTGTCGTAACTAGTTACAGCATAAGCTTTAGCATCACTACTCAGGACACGTTCTTACATCCGTGCTAGAATTTGGAACTGGTTTTAAAGATGGGTTAGTCATGGCAAAAAAATGTCACGGTCCCGTGATCGCTGACCAGTCAAAATAGTCGAATAATGTGTGATGCGATAATCATAATCAAATGATTATTGATTATTACATCACACATTATTTGAATTTTGACTGGTCAGCGATCACAGGACCGCGACATTGTTTCGCCCACTTGGTTTTAACATAACATAACTCTAGCATGGATGTAATGACGTGCCTTGAGCTAGTACGTTAAATTTTTGCGGACAATAAATTAGAAACAAAGTCTATGTAGATACTTTATAGAGAGAGTCGCGATAAAATTAACTACAGTAATTTATTTTAATACAGTCGATAAAAATTTCTTTGTTACATTTTTTTTATATCATTTTGAGTTAGTTCATGCCGACACGATATCGATATTATTTAATTATTACCAGTTTTTTAAATCTAGAAATCACGCCAGTGATGTTTAACACTATATTTCAAAAAATTAGTTAATTAACGCTTGACCAACTTCGTTTTAACCTTAACTTTTAACGTTTAACCCCTAATTTCTAATTTTGCTATCCCAACTTCTACCCCTAATCCTCTGTATAAAAAAAAAAGTATGATATCGATGGTTTAAAATTTTGATTATCAAAATATGATCATTATAACACGTGAATCTCGAAATTTTTTTTGTCTTTTACGGCTGGTTAGGCTATACGTAGTTAATGTTCTTTTTTTTTTTGTATGTTTTTGTTACACTACAGACACGCGTAAAGGATTAGTGATGCATCAAAAACGTAGCTTTTGCATAAATATTAGTTGTCCTATAACAATAAGATCCAATCACTAGCTCAGAATAGACGATCTGATAACTAGCGTTAGTTTTTGTTTTTACATTTTTTTTCTTTAGAGAAACAAACTTTATTTTTTCCCTTTTCGTTTTTTTCGTTTACAGTTTCTCACCGTATAAAATATATACTGGGAACAACGTAAGGTGAGGTAAGTTTTTGACTTATTTGCAAAGTATTAGTTAAGGCGTCCACACATTGTAATATACATTTGTCACTGTGGAGCTTTAATTCATGTCTTTGTCATTGGTCTAAAATCAAGCCTTCTTTGAGATGACTACCTTTCAAGCTTACTTTGGGCCCCACACTCAAATATACACGAATGAAATCAATTTTGACTGGACTCGTGTGGGCGTTACAAGACCTGATCTTACTCAACAAGTAATAAAACTACAACAAAGACGAATTTTAATTCCAGTCACGCCTAAAGTAAAAAATAAAAAAGGAGAGTTTGAAACAATACAGGACCGTGCTTTGGGAGAATTAAGAAATGCTCTCGAAAAAGCTTTAAGCAGATTTGAAAAACGTCCGCCAAAGTTTCAAGAAAATTGTCACACGAATATTCTTCATGTGCATTCTTGCTTTAACAGGGCAATTAAAAATCTGCATAGTTATTGTTGGGAGTATCAAAATTCTCCCAAAGTTACCATATCTCCCAAAGTTACCAAAATTCCCACAGTCCCCAAAGTTCCCACAGTATCCAAAGTTCCAGTCCCAAAACCACCCTTCACTGTCCCCCCCAAAACCTGGAATGTAGTTGAAAGTGTTCCTAGAGCTTGGTCTTTACTTAAAAGTACTCCAAAAGAGAAGACTGGATTACTAACTAAATTAGATAATGTTAAATATAACAGATCTAATGATATTGGCATTGGTTCATCTCGATATAATAATAAAATATTTACTACATCAAAGGGCGGTTCATCATCATCTGGACTTAATAATAGTTTATCTATCACATCTAGGAAAGGTAAAATAGTTTCATCTCAAACTAACAAACCATTGGTTGGTGATGCTCTAGAGTTCCCAATTATTATTGACTGTGATGATGAAAAACATTTTAAAGATGGCGATAGAGAATTTCCGATCTTACTGGACAGCGACGATGATGATAATAAAGATTTTCATGTATTGGCTTTCGATAAAAATGAAGTTATCGTGATTGATGATGATGATGATGATGAGGATGAAGTAAACAATATTAAAGATTTAAAAAGGAAAGGCTTACCAAGTGATTCTGAAGATGATGTAGAACCCTCTAATAAAAAGTTTAAAAGTGTGAAAGTTGAAGATGATTCCTTGGGTGATTTTATTCCTGTTGAACCCCTCACATTGTCAGATCTTAATGAACCAGAACGTGTTTTTATTCGTGGTGACTATGCCTCAAATGAGTTTTATGACCTGGAAGCAATAAATTCGCAAGGTGTAAGGAATTTGCAGGGAAGAAGAAATTTTCTGGTGGGAACAAATTTGTTGCAATCGGTAAAAAAGCTCAAGCATGGTGGTAAGAAGAAGATGATTAGTAGTAAGAAACAAGCAGAAATAGATCAGTTCGTTAAATTAAATAGACGTAACTATAAAATATATATACATATATATAATATATTTATGTTTCGTCGGGTTCTCGTATTAAATTAAAATAACTAATTATTTAATCTTTTTAGATATTGGATATATTAAAGATTTGAGGACCGACCTACCACCAATCCCTCTGATAACCGACGAAACCTTCTATGCTATGGCGACTGGTTATCATTCTTTCAACGAACAATGGGAGGCATTAGAGTTCCTAGGTGATAGGGTTTTAACATCCTGCCTCTTAAAATTCGCAAAAAAACGGTACGAATCAAAATATTGTTCAAAAGAAATCAGAAAAAGTGTCTCAGTAATGGCCACCAACAAGATTTTGGCGGCGTATACCGTGACACTTGGTCTCCATAATCTTAATCATATGGATTTTCCGGTAATAGTAAAGCTTCATGCTGACGCTTTTGAAGCTTACTTTGGAGCATATTATCTAGCTGTCGGGGAGCCGGAAACTTGTAGCTATCTCGAGATCTTAATGACTCCGCTGTTCGATCTTATCGTCGAGCACATCGCATCTGGTAATGCTATTTCATCTACATGCGATATAGCATCAAAGTACTTTTCAATGCCATGGATGGTCGGTGATCGTCTTAAATGATCATGCCGTTGTATAATTCAATAAAATTTTAAATGCATAGCTTAAGATCATAATCATTTATTTAATGTATATAGTTCATAATATTGTTATTACACATTCTAACACTAATAGGTAAATGTCAATATGTGCATTGTGAAGGGTAACGTGAACTAGCAGCAGCAAAAAAACATGATCTAAGCCATAAGACTCAAAATTATTACTCGTAAGGATCCATGGGAGGGTTGTGAGTCATTTGATAAGAATAGATTACCATCCCTACAATCATGTAATTACGTGTAATTACATGATTGTGGACAATTTTTCATTTTTTTTTTAAGGCATTATTTTGGTTTGCTAACGGTAAATGTACATATTTCTTTGGATTCAGTATTTGATGATTAATGAGTTGGCACTTCAATTTTATAATAAATTTATGAAAAGCGAACATTACATTTAATTTGTATATAATTTTAATCTGTATATAATTTACTTATTTTTACATAATTTTAATCTGTATATAATTTACTTATTTTACAAAATTGTACAGTAGAAGATTTATGATTTCATGAGTAATAAACAAAAATAAAATAAAAAAAAATACTGTAAGGCGATACAACTAAATTTAATGGGTTTCATATCCGGCCGGGTCAGAAAATTGCAAAATCCAAAATTTTTTTATACCGCAGTAAGTATATAACCAATCAATTATTATAATTAGGGTAGTTGCGCGGTGCAGGATCAGTACGATCACATGCGACAAGTTCAAACCGTTCATGTATAATAATATTTGTTATTAATTTGTTACGTGTTTAACAGTTTAACTTTTATCTATATCACATATAAAAGTCACTGGCTCATTTTTGCACAAATAAAAATAAATTAATCAAAGGCGGACCATTAGCTTTAATGCTTCAATTATAATATGCTTTATTTATTCTTGCTCAATCAGGTGACTATTTACATGGGAGAAACCCAAATTTATTCTCTATTACATATCATACATGCTGGGGAATCTAGATATTTTTGCCTAAACTGACTATTCACACTATAAAATAAATTATTCATAACAATAAAGTAACATGCTGCAACCTAATACAAACTAAACTGTCAGACATAGTAAAGAAGCCGCATAGCAGTAATGAAAATTGGCTATATAAATTATATGAATATATACATGTCATTTTACTGATAATCATTTCATTGACACTTCATCGACAAGTTCATTTCACAGACAGTTACTACTTATTTCATCAACAGTACGTTTTACCAATTCTGTTACAAAACTCGTTCTCCAGTAACTATGGTTTATGGTTATGGTTGAGTTAGTTAATGTTAGAGTTATCATAATTTCAATTATAAAACTTACTTACCAGCCCAATAAAACATATATGGGGTCTTTGCCTTGAAAATGACCTTACGGTACATGATACCGTAAGGTCATTTTCAAGGCAAAGACCCCATATGTAATTAATGGAGTTTTGTATCAGAATTATAATTTCTGTAGAGAGTTACTGTAAAAAATTAACTACAGTACTATATGTGGTTAAGGGTATATCCCAATTTTACTGATACCTATTTTGTCAACACTAATTTTGCTACGTAACAGCTATTTTTGTTAATAGCCTATTTTACTAACAATCTACTTCTCTAACAATTTATTACCTCAACTCAAATCTATTTCTTTGATATTTTATTTTATTGACAGCTTACTTTTCAGTACTTTATTTTATCAATAGCTATATTGTTGATAGCTTTTTATAGTATAGCAGCTATTTTGTTAACAAATTTGGCCTAATTTAGGGAGGACCCCTGAATATATGCATAAAGCCTTCGTCGTACACTTAGGCTAAATTTTTTTGAACGTTTGTCCAAAAGTGTACAAAAATATGCTTTTTGATAGCAAATTTGCTTGACCTTTAACGTATACTTAATTAATAAAATTAAAAAAAGTTTGGTGTACACTTATTATTATATTGAATTGGTATATCATACAGTATAAATTACAAGCAAGGGTTGGGTGAAATTACTATTAAATTTTTTTTTTTTTTTTTTTTTTAGCTTTTTGACAGTCTTGCTGGAGCTCAAATACAATACTTTATTTAATACTTCACTATGATCAGTTTATAAAATAAATCAATTATTTTATAGTATTTTTAAATGATAAAATAATT